TGATTGACGATGATTGACGATGATTGATGATGATTGATGATGATTGATGATTATTGATGATGATTGATGATGATTGATGATTGCTGTTTATGGCATCCTCCCCATTTCACAAGAAAGCTGCAGGAGTTTGGGCGCTCTGTCTGGATGCAACATAGAATCCCAGCAAGGACTGAGGGTATGAGGTCCTTGTGGGTCAGGGAATCCCAACAAACTCCATTGCGCTTGCTTGAGCATGCATGCAACTTTCCCAGGTGGTCTAAAGCTTAAAGGATTCAATCTTTGCATCCTTTCTACGAAGCCAGCTCAACCTGTGCAAAATGGGCGCCCAACTCCAGTACAATAGCAATGGTATCGCCCTCTTCGATGGCGGCCTGGCTGTAACTTCAGATTAGAGTCTGGAGTTGAAGCATTGCAGCGATCAGCAGTACTCCATGAACAGAGGCTCATCTAGGATTCTCAGCTTTGATTTTTGGTATTCCCCGTCAAAATAGTCATTTTGTGCAGGGTTCTACGCTTTGCTGCGTAATGCGCTAAGCTAGCTCGCGTGAACCTTGCCAAAACCATAGACGCTTGCGGCATTGTTCCTGTCGTTCATTCAGGGACTCAGACTTTTGGGCGCTGCAGCACTCTGGACAGGCTTGACGCGATGAGGCAAGTAATCTACAACATCTTGCACAGGTCTGGACATCCTACTCAGACTTGTCCCCCGCCAGATTCTCCTATTTCTCCGTTTCCAGCTTGTCAGGACTTCGGTTAGTCCATGAAGCGGCAGTGTTTACTTTACTCAAATGCGCCCTACCCTCGGTCTCTCTGCCTACATCCCTCCCATGACTACGACTGTCTCTGCCTTCTCCCCCTTGGCTTTCCACTCCCACCTGTGCGAGGTCATGCTGATGAAAGCCAGCTTACGGGAGTTGCGTGAACGTCCATGGTCGGTCCGATAACCTGACATGACTGACATGACCGGGACCAAGAAGCCTTGCCTTGTGTGATGGGCTCTTCGGACGTGATAGCCGGATTTCAGGCCGCTAACATGAGCCAACGCTGGTCGCCTGCCGACGCAAAGCACCAGGGGTGTTGAGCGAAACGGGTAAGGATTGGCTTCGTTTGACAGCGGCACAGCTTCTGCCGAGGAAATTTGACAAAGTCACTTCTAGCTCTGTCTCTTCCGGCTCTGAGCGCCCAGCTCATCTGGATCCTGACAACAGTAAAGATTGCGATCAATCGGTCGGTGGTGGCGGGGCATTGGCTGCAGTCGATGAGCATGTCATTCCACAACTGCTGCACAAGGGCCGGTGCAAATTTGCCTTACATTTCCAAAGCAGGATGCCCGGACATGTGAAAGAAAGCTCAAGGAATTCGCGTGGCTATCTGCCAAGAAGGACGAATCGAACACCTAGTAAAGCTGGCAACTCTGATTCCGACAGGCCCTACACTAACACGCTGACTCACAGGCGCCTGTTGGCTGTCGTTCCAGCACCCCCAAACCAACGTGGCCATCTCCATGGAGCCCTGCAAATCAGAGCTGACCCACTGGGTGCTGGGTGCGGGTCAAGTTTGGGGCTGCAGAAGGTTGAGCCGTCCTACTAAAATAAAGAGGACGGGGCCGTTGAACTGCTTGAATTTCCGGACCTTTGACCTGCTGAGCTGGCCATGGTTTTCTGCCTGTGTACACCAGGTTTGGCGTAAGCCCATGAGGAACACGATTCTATGCCTAAAGGGAATGAGGTCGAGGCTAGTGTCATGAAGAGGTTGCAAACACGGGCACACCCGTCTTCAGGTCATGGGAAGTATAGTAGTATGGCAAAGTAACGACACATCCAACGGCTTGATGCCCAAACCCTCACGATGGAAAAGGCCATGCCAAGCAAGCTGTCGCGTGACACGAAGGAGGGATGCCTGCGTAGGGGCCAAGCTAGTGTCTGCCACCTCCAGCAGCAGGAACTCCCTGCCTGGGCCACTACTTCGGGCCGTGGGATAGCTCACTTAGACTGCTCGACCGGAATGCAGCTCCGATAAGCCCCTCAGTTTAAGGCTTTCGGGATTGACAGAAGCCAGCTCTTGCAGCGAGCTTTCGCTTTGACTCTTGTGACTCTTGTGCATACAAAGCTGACCCAGCGGGAGGGCCGGCTTCTGGATCAGCACTAAGATTCCTCTGAATCGCAGCTCCGCCCAATCACTATTTAGGACATGAGAGCCCAAATCTTGGGACACATGCTATGACAAGCATTTGGCACCCACCAAAGCAACAACACATAAATTGATTTCAATCACCATGTTCCGGACAAGGTAGGGGCGCAGCTGACAAACTGGACAACCTTCTGACCCTTTCTCTTCGCCTGGAACGGAAATTCCAGCGGCACCTGAGATTCAAGGTTTGGGGTCGTCCAGCTCTAGTCAAAGAGAGAAAACGCTTGGTAGCTCCTCGCTGAGGCTTGTGATTTCAAAAGTCCACATGCTCTTGCAAGCACACCGTCCTAGTTTCAAGGCCAGCTAGCTGCTAGATGCTGTGGCATAAGCCGGGTGTCTGACCCAGAGTGGAAAAGACTGACCATGGTAACGTCGGCGATGCAGCATAATTTAGCATAATGCTCTATCCTGATGCTGTTCCAATGTAGACCACACAGAATCCCCGAGAATCGGTATTTCCTGAAAAGAGTTCCTCTCATGATTATACGCCACAACTTCTGGTAAGGACTTCCAAAGAACAAACCCTCAATCTTTACATGCCTTCAGAAGCAAGGCCCCTGCTCGCTTTTGGAGGTCAGCACGGCCCAGGACCAGCCTCACAAAATCTGATGCGACGAATCTTTGTCAACCTCTCGCCTCTGATCAACGTGAAGCTACACCACAGGTCACAATCTGAAGCCCTTCCGAACGCTCAGCCATCTTTCCTCCTCACAGTATTCCATGACTCCAAGACTCTACCACATGCATCCAAACTTGACCCGCTTGCACCGTGTGGCTACGCGCCTCACGTGCCCGGCGTCGTCGCCTGGTTTGATAGCTTGCAACAACAAAGCATTCGCAGGTTTAAACCGCCGACAAAAAAGGTTCTCAAAGTAGCACTCGCCTCCCTAGTTTAGTTGAAGGGCACCTGCTTAGTAAGCTGAAAGTCGTCGGCTGCACTTCGTTCCTGAAGGATTCCAGGTCTGACTTTGGTGCAGTGAAAATTGCGTGGCGACCATGCTCAACAGCAAACAGCGGGCTGATTGTGTTGCAATGTGGAATCAAAAAGCATCTCCCTAGGGCTCTACTCAAAAGTGTGCTCAAGAGCATGGGGCTGCGTCATCCCCATCTAACCCCGACCCGTGATTCATAAACCCCCTCGCCTTAATAGGGATCCTGGTATTAAGGCCCTTAGAAGGAGGGGAGGGTTTTACATTAGTCCTGCTACAGACCCAAACCATCCTGAAATGTCTCGGGGCCTGCAGAGGAACCATCAGCGCTCTCAAGCGAGGTCGTGCTCTGATTGGCTGAAGGAGGCTTCAGATCCTCTCTCAGCTGCAGAGGGAAGCATATTAGATACGATCTGAGCACCTTTGAGCGAGGTTGCTTGAAGGGGCTTTGAAGGTATGACATGACCATTACAAAACCCAAATTTGAGGCCGGACGCTTTTGATACACAGCCCATGAAGGATAAAGTGTTTGTGTCAGAGTCAGGGGATTTGGTTCAGGGGATTATTCGTTCTTAACCGCAATTCCTGTGACGTCATCCATGCACTTGAAGATTTCAATACAGCTGGTCAAAGCCAGTGACCCCAAACAATCGTAATCACATCGCAAGCCGCCCGGGGTGGGTCCAGTGTCGTCAGCATGCCCTGCTCGCGGCGCTCAGCAAAGGGCGCATCCGAAACCAATTGTAGGTTCAGGAGCGGCCGCTTGTCCGCCTTTGTGGTGTGGGGCAACAGGCATCTCACATTGCCCGGCAAATCCTCTTAAGCTTCCAATGCCAAGGTGCCCGTGTCCGTACCACTTTTCTGACAGGAGATGCTAGAATCGCCAGACAAAAGCGAATATCAGGCCTCTCCGGAGGCACTTTACAGTAGGACTCCATTCCCCCAATCCGGAATGTAACGGTTGTTGTTTCGTACCATGATGCGTTGCAAAACCTACGTGACTCCCCGGCAAGGACTTTTCAATTTCCGGAAGTTGAAATCCCAGCCCACCTCAGAAGTGGAGGGCTGCTGGGTGCTGCCAGACTCACTTCCTCAGCACACGGGTGTCAAGTGACTCTGATTGAGGTACTTTGCACGCGAACAAGCAAACAAATGCATGTAAAATCGGAACATACTGGAATCAAAGCGTGATCATAACAGAGCTTTCCAAACACTGGTAGGGATCACTTGCGCAAGCTTGACAAGTTGGGGCCTGTTCAGCTGTCGTTACTGCGACCGCAATTGGCGCTGCTACTACTATTCCAATCGCTTGAACACGAAGAGCACCTTGTTTTCTTACCAGGCAAGTTTGCATCAGTCCAAGATCCCAGCTTGAGACCATATCAGTTGGACCATGGCCGTTTTCGACGGCCGTTCGCAACCGCAGTGCCTCAACTGGAGAGGACCCTCATCAGCACATGTGATATTTGATGCGCGCTAACTGATCAACTAACCTTCTTGAGTGCAGGACCGCCGGCTCATCCTCAATCGGAATGTCAGCTGCGCGCTTAGACCCTGCCGCTCGGCTGTCACTTGTGCAAGAGCAGTGTCCAATGATAGTTGTGCTGGGTGTAGATGGAAAACACTATTGCAATGCCCCGTTCCTCTCCAGAACAGTTGCCAGGATTTTCTCGTTCAGAAATGACACGCTCCAAATAGCAGAAGCGTGGAGTAGAAGCATCTCAGCCCCAGCCTCTCAGAGTGTTGGCTTGAATTGCCAACCTTGGCAGGCTGAGGTGAACAGTTCCCATGACATTCATGACTTGTGAATGGCTTCTTCGCTACAAGGATGAGGTGTCAAAGTCACGACGAAAAGGGATAACTCTGACAAGTGTCAGAACAGGCAATGCTCAAGCTAGGTGAGTCGAAATACTGAAAAAAATCTTCGGCACTGCTTGACTGCATGAAGTTCCCTACTTCACTCATCCAGCCAAGGCTAACCCCAGAAATTGACTCATCAGCCTCTAACTCCTGACGCGTCTTGGAAAAGACTCAGCACCTCCAACTCCAAATGCTGCAAACTTCCAAAAGTGCTACTGGGCTGCATGAGAGCTGGCAGAAGCTTGGTGATGGTGTCATTCGCCTGACACGTTCTGGAAATCAATCTGACAAGCGAAGCTACTACAACCCGAGCCGTTGTTGCGCAACGCAATGTGGGAAGCAGTGGGTGCTGCGGCACACACAGCCAGCCAAGTCTAGGACTGCCTGCATTTTTTGCTGCGCAAGCAATTTCTGTTAGCTTACGACACTGCCAGTGGCGCGGGTGGCTCTCACAGCGGCGGCCTGCCTCCTTCACTTTCCCGAGTTCATCCTCGCCAGGATGTGCGATTCACTAATTCCGAATAGGTCATCAGTTGTCATGCCAGCCGGACAGCTCTTCAGAAGGGCTCTCACATCGGCTTCCTGTTGACGTCGGGAACACAATTTTCCATCTACCAGGAATTTGGGATCCCAAAATGCCGTTGTCAGTACTGGCTCTATCAGCGCTTTAAGTCTGAACACTAGTCACCACTGTTAGCTTCCTTGGCCTTGATACCGCTGAGGCTGCGAACCAATCATCGTTTCGCGTTCGGCATTGTTGACCATTTGGGTCCGCAAGGGAAAGACCCTGGGGGCGTCAAAGTTAAGACCTTCCCACCTTCACTGATTCCAAGAGATTGCACAGGAGTATGGGCAACCAGCAGCCATCAGAACTGTAAGATGCAACTTGCTGATCTTGCTGCCCCAGTCCGCCGCGGGTAACAATGCGAAGCTGGAGTCAAAGAGCTTCCGATCTAGACCTAGAGCCCTAGAGCCTTAGAGTCCTAGAGTCCAGGGGCTAGCCAGGCAGATCATGATTTCAAAGCTCAACTACAAATCCAACCTAAAAAAACTGTGAGTCAAACATACTCGCATGCGTCCTCAGGAAGACGTAGCAAGCCGGATACGGCCCCCATCTTGCTGCTGAGGGCCTGGAGGTCCAAGCAAAGCACGCATTGAATGCAACCCAATCTACGAAAATAGGTTGATGCAAATATGGTTTGAAGCAATTCGAACTCTGAATCTATGCTCTGCAGGGGCAAGCGAGAGATCGCCAACAGCATGGCAGCGCCTCCAGACCTTCTTGTAAGGTCCTGTACAACCAGGAAGGCACAAAGACTGCTTGGGACCAAAGTCTTTCATGCCGTTTGTCAGCAGGTTGACATGCGACACCAGCGAACAATGCAACATGACTATACCTGCCATGCAGTCACAAACTGCACTCCGCAAGGCTCACTCATCTTTATGACCCAAGTGGGTGCCCGCAATGCTCCATTGTGTGTGTTGTCAGTAGCTGGGAAGTTGGCCATCTGATACTATGATTTTTCTTCCAACAACATCCAGGACTAAAACCCTACAGCATATGCTGCATTCAGAGCCCTGCTCGCCCCTTTCTCTTGACCATGCAATGCCTGAATTCGTGAACGCCCACTGCTATAACCTCCCATCCCCCTGGAAAAAAAAAACAGGTCGAGGTCCTGGAGCCTTGCTTCATCCTCTCTGTGAGAATGCCTCGAAAGCCTTGATGTGGCAAGCACGGGTCTTGTGGACAGAAAGCTAAGCCTCTGATCAGGTAAGTCAGGTACTTTCGAGTCTACCAAGTCAATTACAAGCTACGGTTGTGGCTGAGGGAACGCTGCTTTGGGACTGAAATACAACCACAGCCCTGTCGCAGAAACCCTGACTCAAAGCCGTGGAAATAGAAGTGCCGAAGCTGGGAAGTCTTAGTTCAGTCAGAGACTGCAGCCGGCGATCTTCTGAGCAGGGTGCCATTCGCTCTTTTGGAGTCCTGCAACGCATGGGTGCCAAGCTGGATCTCTCATTTCCTAACTAGCCCTACCATGCCAACAAAAAGTCAAGCAACTTTTGAACTTCAGCAAGCAACCGGCACTGCTCGACACAGGACGAGTGGCACAACCAACTTGCTCAATGCTGCGGTAACCACAGATCGTGGAGCGGGAAATCCGACCCTATTCCAACGGCATTTCTTGACCCTAACCAGGGTGCGGCACAGCCTAGCATAACTTCCACGGTAAAATCCCTGAGCAAGTTGGTGCAAAGCCTCCAATGCGGCAAGTGTCTCCGGGGAAGTGGGCTTCTGGTTTCGCTCGAGGACCTGGAAGCTTCTGAGACAGGAATGACACGGGCCAGGACAGGATGTCGTGATGTGCAACACGAAGCCTGGGGCTGCTGACGGATGTCGTCCGTCACACACAGCACACGTTTGAGAGAATTCGAGCTTTACCGGGACGAACATCATGCACCAGCTGCTGCATCATTTCCCTGAAGGGCACTACGACGCTCCTGGAGTGATTCCCAGGCCTCTTTGGCTTGGTTCAGGACTTTTGCCAGGTGCGGAAAAACCTCCACATGGCGGCAGGGGGCGGATGACGTTAATGCACTTGCAATATGTTGCACGCAAGTTAGGCAAATCATAAAGATGCGTTCAAGAGCAAAAAGCGCCTGGTTGGAGTTGAACACCGCATTCCGGTCCTGAAGACATGTCGTGCCCAAGGGTATTTGGGCAGGCTGAATCTCAATGCAGACATTGTTTTTGGTGCTCCTGGCTACACTTGGCCTCTCCAGATGGAACACAATCTCACTTCCAAGACTATCGCACATCTATCACCAAAGCCATTCTGTCAATTGAGTAGCGTTTTTTTGGTGGTTGAACCTAGTAATTAAGATTATTATGTTCCTTACATAAAATACTATACCCCAAAAGGAGGATATAATCTTACTCTACATTGGGTACCATAGTATCCTCAAATAAAACACTGCTCCATTGGATTCTGACACGCTCTGTCATCTTGCCGCCCGCAGGTCCTCTTCTGGCACGCTCTGTGACCAAATTCTCACAGACTGTGAAACGCTTTGCACATTGATGGAGAGGCTCTCCCTTGGCAAGTTTGAGTTTGCAAATGATATGGAAAGCAATCACGAGATGAACAACATCATCTGCTGCACCCAAGCATTTCTGACAGGACTACCAGTTTGAAGCCACAGCATGCCACGGCGTATCATATTGCAACGTGGCCTGGGAACATACCCATGCTATTGCAATCATTGTCTTGCAGATTCTTGCAGAATCTCTACGTGGACACGATAACACGATGAACGGACAGTACAGAAACCTTATTCTTGTCCTCGGAAACATGCTCTGAGAACCCAACCCGGCGAAGTCCCTGAATGACTGCCCGTACGTGGTCTTTCAGCTCGACTGCCCCGCAACAAGCGGCATAAGGGCCTGGCAGCTCCTGGTTCTTCTCCTCGGTGCGTGACAGCACCTCGTTGACCCAACCCGCAGCCTCGAAGAGCCCAAACCTTGGAGTAATGAGCAGCATGGGCGATTCGGCGATTCGGCGATGACAATATGTGAGGAATCAGAATGATAAGATTAGATTAGATTGATAAGAAAGTATTAGCAATGGTTGCACTTACGATGACAAAAAGAACCACAAATCAATGAGGAAAATCATGCTAAACATGCAAAACATCTTCTGATAAGTTCTTGCAGTACCGATTTAACGGCAACTTGCCAGAAATGCTTGGCGCCTCACAAAGTCTCCATCTGCTCATCGGTAGCTGCGTTAGCTTCCCCTACGTGAGGTGAAGGTGGGGGTTGTGACTGGGTTGAAACGACTAGGGTCTAAGTCATCACATTCTTGCAAAAATTTCCATACTTCATCGGTGCAAGCAAAGTGCGTGCTACCTTGGAAAATGCAGCTGCGTACGGTGGTACCTGATTGTCCCGTTTTCTCATGCGAGACAGAACTTGAGCCAAGTCGTCACAAATCAGGCAAGCCAGGCTTGCTCAGCAATCAACAAATCGCTATGCCGCTATGTGCACGATTTGTTGGGGGATAGGTGGTCTCAACCATCCTACATCCGGGCGACAAAGCTTTTTTCTATGAGCAGCAGAATCAAAGGGTCAGCAGCTCATTGTCCTGGCGCTCACAAGAGGGCTCACCGCGTTAGCAAACGGCTGATGGTGCAGCCAACATCATGCGAACAGTTGCTGGACAGCACTTGCTTTGGCATGGCCGGCACAAGAAATGTTCACGTACTTTCCCCTGGCTGTCAACATAGCCACACTGCCTGTGAAGGTTTCCGCTTGACCTTGAAATAATTAACGGCTTGTTTCTAAAATGTTTTGCAGTGAAATACGTACTGCGAGGGGCAGAACTGTTCAGCTGCACCGTCAAGCAATAGACAAGGTTGGAACCCCTCGCCGGAACCAAAGCCATGCGGAGCAGTGCCTTCAAGAGCTGTCGAATGAAGGCCGCCTGCTCAAACCAAAGAAGTTAGCAGGACGCGCCTCCCATACATGCGAACGAATAAAGCCAAAACAGTCCCAAACAGAACCCAGCAGCCCCAGATAGTTGCGGATGGAGCAAATGACAAAGTCGACACACAAGCGCGCCACTACCACAGCAAGTGTGTTTCCATTTCCATGGAAGTAGATGTCAAGTCTCGGTGCCAAAAATGCGAACCGTAAGTTTCGGGGTTTTGTTGCACGGGTGTTTTGTTGAAGTTGTCTTTGACGTTCGTGCGTTCAGTTTCCATCGGCCTTGGCGTCATAGCTGGGCAGCTCCTTCCACTCACTTGCTTGCACCTGGTCATGCAAGAGCTGGCAATTCGAGCATGGGGCCTGCGGATCTCACCAGAACCTTCCTCAGAAGCTGGTGCCCGGGCCGGCTCCTCTTAGATACACATACAGTACGTCCCGAAACCCATCACGAAAGATCACCAAAAACAAACTGCAGTGACATTCAAAGTTGCATCTTTTCAGCACACATTCAGGTTCAAGCACTTGCGATCCCGCAGACGAAAGGATGGGATCGGCCAGACTTTCCCAATAAGATGTCTCCGCAGCTACCAACAGCTAGGCTGCCAAAGCATAGAATATCGACGTGAACGAAGAGGTGATTGACGCAGTAAACACAGTGCAAACACCCAGTACGCCCAGCCTCTATGCTTCGCCAGCCAACAGCCTGGGATGGAAACTTGAACGTGATTAAGGCTGAAGAAGAGGCGTCCATCACAACACAGGACTGCTCATCTTGGAAAAGTCCGCTATTAAGGGACATGCAGGTATCTGGAGAGCAAAATTCAGATCGGAATGGCCAAAAATTACACGCGCCTGGCTACAAAAGACACTTGTCTCCGGGAAATGGGAACTTTCTGCAACCACAGTCGAAAAACTTGCAAAAGGAATCTCCCGTGTCCCCGCTACGCTGCCCTGTCACCTTCCGTGCCAGCAGCCCAGAAAATGTAGGCCCTGAAACTCGCAATACTGGTGAAAGTAATAATGAGACTCACCTGAGCGAAAACAGCACTAGCACAAGCACACATCATGTGCAGCATCTGCAGACACATGAAAGAAAAAAGCGTTTCTTAGATGCATATGTAACAGCTTCCATTTCAGATTATGTAATCCTATACACCCCCTTGACCGCAAAACCTTCAAAAATCCTCAAGAAAGGCCCATTACTCCATGAAATAATCAACTCCTGCCTCGAGATGCCGCTTCTTTCGCGCCCTCGGGGTCTCAAGGAGGCCGAAGCGCCAGGTCCTTTCCTGAATTGGAAATGTTTGTTAAGCTTCGGTGGCTTTGCAAGATCTTTGCTCGGGGTTCTACAGGGCCAATGTGAGTTATGTTCGGAAATCCCTCTACTTCAAGCTTGAAAGTTGCTCCTGCGGACCCGTAGCTGCGTTGACGTCTTCAAAGGCGGTATTAAACATCAGGGGTGGGTATGTTCGTGGATTAAGGCCCACATGCCCAGTGCCCGGCCCTGCCAACTATGTCCTTGGCTAGATTCATTCCCTAAGTACTAGTGAGAAGGTTGGCATGAAGCAGTATGATCATGTGTGCTCATAAAAACGTCTTGATACGCTGTGGTTCCTTCTTGTGTCCTCAATCCTTCTATCCCTTCGCAACGCACTCCGGCCTCCACCGGCTCGAAATTGATGCGCCCATCGGGGTCGCACACCTTCTCTCACAGTATGTTGGCTGCTAGGCCAGAGCTGCGGGACTCCAACAGTACCCCGAATAATCCCGAATATGGATCCGCGACAGTTCCCGCGCAGAATGGTGAACCCAAAGTGTTGGCTTGAGAACATGAGCCGGAGTTGCGGACACAGCCGGCAACTTCAATGCTTGCTACACCGCTTCAAGAACTCAGAAGCAGTCTATAATGGCAATCACGCGGATCAGAATCCCATTCAAGTCCAAGTGGAGAGAGACCTATAAATGTAAAGGTAGTAATCTGCAAAACCAACAAGCTGGCCAAATCAAGCAGACCTACCAGAGCGTCGCTGAATCCCAACCCGAAGCTGCATGAAGCCAGCAAGAGCGAGCAGAATCGCAGTCATCCTGCCTTGAGAGGGTATGGCCCCAACATTTTGCGCTTGGCAGGGAAACCATGCCTCAAACGGTGCTGCTTCTTCCACAAGTTGGGAAATCCCTTTTGGGCGTGCCGTTTTAGATGGGGCCTGTGATCCGTAGAACTCCACATGAGGTGAGAGAACCACCTATAGGCCTCCCCTTGCCAGTGCCTTCCTGTTAGAAGGTGGAGCTGTCCTACATCAGCGGCAAGGCGCAGGGCCTTCAAGCCAATATCCCCTTAACCCGGACTAGCCACTTTCTCAAGAAGAACGCCATCTGGTAGGACAACGGCGTGTCACGGCCTCAGTCATTGTAATGGTACGCCGAAACAAGTCTAACAATCCAGCATCGTCGGTCCTGCCAACATCACTTGCGTCGAACGTGTCAGTTATAAGCGTCCAATGCTTCCAAGGGTGTCCAAATTCGAGCTATTCAAAATGAACAAGCAGAACGAGCTTGTGACGTCTGGGGCCCCAGGCGCAGCTCTCGGTCGTAGAAGCGGAGATTCCGAACCACCGAAAGGTATTCGGTAACCTCTGGAGGCAGTTGCTCCTGCAAGAGGAAGCAGCATGAGCTAGCGGATAGAGCTGGATGGATGTGCATGAGTCCACCATGGAGCATCAAGAGGCATCGGGTCTTCCTACCCTCCTGGAAGGCAAGAAGCCATTCCCCTTAAATTCCAGATCCTGAGTGTAGAGGAAGTCAAGCCGGATCAGCATCTCGATCGTTTTCAGCATGCGAAGCTCCTGGAGGCGGAGTAAGAATTGCATCCGTTACCAGATTGAAGAACATATGTGGAAGCGGTGCTTCAACTGACTCTTAACTGCTAATCCTTCTTCAGTACGTGTAAAGAAAGCAGCACTTTCGATTCCGTCACAGTGGCCGTCCTGCGAGTCATCTACAACGTGGATTAATGGCTCGCGCAGTGCCGAACGCAGTAACACTGTGACAGCGCCACTGGAACCTTGGCTTTAATCTTAAATCATTGCAGGTTTTGTCCAAGAAAATGCCCCAAATCACACCCAAAGGAGTTCCCTGCGACGACATATCACAGACTCGCGTAAGGTCTCTCGGCTGGATGGTAACAGCTGTGGGTCAGGCTGAGACCGGTGGCCAGCATGGTGTGGCCTCAGCCAAAAGATACCATTGGTCTTAGCACTGCACTTTCCAAGATTTAGGGTGCTTAGGCTGGAGCTGGAGCTCCTCTCCTCAACAGTATCTTCAATATGGCTGCTCGAGCTAATTACAAGTACGATGAAACCAACAATGCACATCATGGCTTCTTATTGATGCTCTTTCGTAGCCGCGTACGGGCACTTCGTGATTCTGTGGTTGCCTCAGTTGGCCTAGTTGCTCCTCGCACTTCTAACAATATCTTACATGTTTGCCGTCCTTGCTCACCTTGCAGCCTAACCACACTAGGATAGTCACTGCTACACTCACAAGTGTTTCATGCAAGCTCTTCCTGGTGAGGTTTCGGGGGTGTATGCAGCTCTTGACCCGATAGATCGTGCTTCAAGGTTGGGCCACCGGTCGCAAAGCTGATCGAACGAGAAAGCTAGCCTCACATAGAATGATCCAACACTAAATCTGCCTCACAGGCGCGAATGATTCCAACTGCTTCAACATGCTTGCACGGGCCGTGGTCAAAAATCCAACTAGCAATGGTGGCCATATGTGGCCATGGTTGTGGTATGCTGTGGAAAAAACTGGTGACAACATGGCAAAAGTCTTCAAAAGCGTTACCAATCAATGACACAGTACGAACGATAGGAATTGACAGAAAATGTCTGGCAGTCCATCAACGCCTACCCACGCAAGCTGACTACTCCACTCATATATCCCCAAGGGCAATGCATTTCTAATCCGCTTTGATCAGTAGTAAGCGCTTGGTAACAACGAAAGTCAAGACTTGACTTTGTAGACGTACAGCAACAGCAATCATAATGAGAATAGTAGAAGCAGTTTGCAGTAATGGCGGCGGTAGGAGTTGCACAAATTTCAGCAAAACGGAGCATCTTCTCTGAATCCGAATTTACTTCCAGCAGCTATAAAGTAAACGGCACGAGTAAAAAGATGTCTTAAACGGCGCTCTACGCACAAAGCAGCTGGGTTGACAAGATGCTTAATCAAGCTTTGTTTGCTTGATGTCTGATACAATGCCTGCTGCGCGATCTCGTTCATGGTGCAGTTTTGAACAAAATGCAAACTTGTGCAACAATGAGGCAAACATCCCACGGAATAACTTGGATGCCTTCCTTCAGTCGCATCTTGCCAAGAAATCTTAACCTGCTTACCTTATGCCTGCGGCACAAACAAATTCTGCTGCCGCCTCTTTCGGCATTGCAAAGCTTGGATTCTGGTTGCGTTCCGCTTGTGAATTTGCACACGTCCGTGCTGCAATTGCGTCCTCATCTCATTGCCTAAGGCCTAGGTCCGATACCTCAGGGATCAGGCTTGCTTTCCAGCTTTCAGAGATAATTTTCACTTTGTCGGCACATGACCCAACAGTTATGGACAACTCGTAGCTTGGCCATTGCAAGTGATTGAACCTGCTAGGAAGCCGCAATGGGTGGAGCTGGAACTTGCTGTGGGCATGGTCATTGTTTTCCTGTGATTTTTGTTGCTGTTGCAACCATGACCACCATTCGTTCTCCGTCGCTTCTGAAATCCAGCCTGCCTGAGCAGTACAACCATGCAATGTTGCGCAATTGGTTTTCGTGTGTTGCCGTTTTTGCGTTTGCATCTCAACTTGAATGCTTGAGCACGCGTTCATGAAAACATTCGCGTAGATGTCCCCAACTCCAGCTTGTTGCAATCTGGAGCTTGCATTACAAGCAGCTCAAGCCAAAATGTCCAACTGTTTAAGGTTGTGCTTTGCCTCGGGTGCAAGACTCCTCTTATTGCTTGCATACGCGTCTTGCGGCTTCTTAACTCCAGCTGAACAAAACAACGTGCAATTTGTTGAGATGCCTGCGTCATTAGCACATGCAGCATATGCAAGGGAAAGTTCCCCTTCTGTCAATACTCTTCGATGTATTGCAAGATATTGCAGAAACTATTGCTATTGCTACTACTAGGTCTACTACTACTCCTCCTCCTACAACTCCTGATGTTCCTGCTCCTGCTCCTGCAGCAAGGAACGCTGCCGAAACCGCTGATAACAGTTACTCGAGTGACTCCTCTAGTCCTCCCAACAACAACAAAAGCAACAGTTCTCCAGGCCAGCGGCACAAACTAACCGCTGAAGGCATCGGCAGCAAGGCGCCGGCAGCCTAAGCATCTGACGACCATCTGGGCTTCGGGCTGTGGTACTATGCGCAATGATGACAAATGTTGCACAATATTGATACTCTGAGCCTTAACATCTAATTGTACGAACGGCATGGCCTGGATAAGACCTTGCACTGTAGCCGTCACAGTAGTGGTCGTCGTCATCTTCATCGTCGTCATCGTCATGGTCGTCGTGGTCGTGGTTGCGTTCGCCGCGGGTGTCGCGGTGGTCGTGGTGGTGGTCCAGGTGGTGGGTCGTGGTCGTCGTGGCCGGCGCCAACAGAAGCAGCAGCAAAATTGAACATAATTTACAACCGAGGTTACTAGTGTAATGCAAGCTTTGGCCGTGATTCCTGCATGATAATGGACAATCAAGCAAATGCAAACACCGTACCTTACTGTACTTAGAGGCCGTGGAGAAGAAGCCATCGTTTCTATTCTGACTATTCTTTCAAATCTGGGTAGAGTGTGTGCAGTCACACCGCTAAACACAACTGTGACCACGAAACCATCAACAAACCACAACGCTGTCATTGACAACAAACACCTTGTCGGATACCACTAGCGATTCGTCGAATAGAATTAATGGAATGTGCACCGTATCTGTACTCTCAGCCTTGCGAAAGACGCGAGCTTTAGCATTATGAGGGAGATTCACCAAAACTCACGACACATGATTTGCAACACGCAGTCCCTTTCAAAACACTCGGAGCGCACCTCAAAGCGTGGGAAATCGCGCTCCTCAGTTGAAAGTTCAAAAACGATCCAAAAGGTCCCCACTTTTGCATGAACTGCCGGCTGCCTAGCGCAGTTGTTCTTGGATGTAGGCAGATTTTGGTGTTTAGAACCCTGGACAAAAGCAGATCAAAATGAAGTGGACATAAGCCATTGTTTCTGCCAATCTTGGGCAGACGGCGCAGGAACCATTGCAAGCTGTTCGAGGAGGAGCTGCAAGAAAAACATCAGTTTATTAAGCAAGGCTTGAAACCTTCTTGGGCCATTCATCATAGAGAAGGCTTATGAAAACACAGATGCGGGTCTATCAGAGACTCCAGTCACACATCTCTGACTTTGCCTAAAAAGTCAAACTTTGGTCAATGCTCCATGGGCATCCAAAGACAGCTTCCAAGCTTTACTGCACCAAGTTACGTGCCAGTTCGGCCTTTCCACGGTCACATATGGCTGGCAAGATTTCGTCGCGAGGTGCATTTTCTACAGGGCATCAAAAAAACATTCATCGCCCAAATTCTGAGATGTCCCCATCCTGTTCACTACAGCGCTTTCAAAACGGAGGGCACCGTACCCCTTTCTTGAACTGTTTTCAATCTTGGCAGCAAATGCAAAGCGCGCGCCCCATCCGTAACTCCAGATTTTCGGGCTGAAAATAACTCACCAAGCATTTTCATGTTTGCCCTGCCCCCCCCCCTGGGCCTGAACCATTAGAGCCCACAAACCCAATCACCGAAAAGTCAATTGACTGTTTACGAAGGATGCGCTTTCAAAGCCAAACCCACTAACTCTTGTTCCTGGCCCACCTCAAAACTGCGCCGGAATCCTCAATATATCTCAGGATAAAACTATTAGCCCTGGTCCATGATAAGCTACGAGCCTATGAGGGTTTCTCACCAGTATTTTGAAGTCTGATAGTAATCCAATCCAATTCAATCTGCACTATGTGATTTACAAGAAATCTATCTACATCCGGAATATATCCGAAACATTCCGTTTGAGATTGCAATGCCCAGTAATGGGAACTTAGGATTAATAATCCCCCCTTGATTAAAGCCCATTTTCCGGGATCCAGAACCTAGGAAAAAGCAGGGGAAAGATGAATTTAGAACGGGGACAGCGACCCCCGGTAATAGTGGCCTCAGACCTTACCAAAACCCCCACAGATTAAAGCCCATCTGCGCCTCAGGCCTTCGAAAATGCAAAAGGGATGTGTTCGCTGTATAATGAGTTAAACATGTTCCCCAGCACGCAATCAGAAAGCT